GCAGGCTTAGGCAAGTGGCTGACAGAAGGAGATTCCCATGAAGCAGTAGATAAAAAGTAAGAGATTTGCTCCCCTAAACTTTGTCTGGAGTCTGTATTAGAGGCAAGTAATTTTTGAAACTTTGTATCAGGACAACTGCAGATGTGATGGTAAACATTCAGTGTAGTTATAGTTCTAGCACCTGGGTCTCATTCTGCAGAAGTAATGGGCTTTGCTGTTCAGAGGATGTGGTTCTGAAAGGGGTGGTGGGATTTATTGCCCAATCACTCCTCCACAGCAAAACAAGTACTCTGATAAAAGTTTTTCTGTTCAGTGTTTTGTCTGTAGAGCGTTAAGGCAGGTACTGCTCTCTGATGCACTCCCTGCCCCTCAGAGTCAGAAGCAAGACTATCAATACCTGTGCTCAGGATCCATGGTCAAACCAAACATTACTTCTCAACCCCCAGCTAATGCTTACTTTGTACTTCTGTTCCAGGAAATTGAGGTAGGTGGTGGCAGAAAAGCCATCATTATCTTTGTACCGGTTCCTCAGCTGAAGTCCTTCCAGAAGATTCAGGTGCGGCTAGTTCGGGAGCTTGAGAAGAAATTTAGTGGAAAACATGTGGTGTTCATTGCTCAGGTAAAAAAACCCTTAGAATTACAAAAATGTTGATTTGAAGGGATAGCTGGAGGTGATCCAGTCCAGGCTCACGCATGTTCCAGTGTCGCATTACCCATTCATGGTAACAGTGATAGTAATTCATTGTACCAGCAGGAATGTAATGAGTGTCTGGTGGATGTTACACAAAATGTTTTCAGCTGGCAGCAGTGGAAACTTAGTGAGATGTAAAGTTGTTTCATGGAGAATAGAACTTTCTTGTTCTGGCCACTCTTATTCCTTCAGAAGTTTGACACACAAAGCTTAAAACAAAAGGGAGCAAATATTAATAGGAACTTTGCTACACTTAGACAATGTAGGCATTTAAAATTTAAGTTACTAGGAAAGGAGGAAAAAAACCCATGCAAGTTCTAAATATATGGCAGGAGCTAAGGTGAAAAGGTGTTGGAGGGATCTCTGGGCAGTACTTAGGGGTTGGACAAACTAGGGATCTGTCTGCAGAGTGGGCAGTTTGTTAAACTGAAGCTAGCTGAAAAATTTTAATGCATTTTTTAAAGCCAGAGCCTCTTCTTACCCTGAATCTTTATATGGCTAAGATGATTTATTTCAATGAAGTGCCTCTGGCTCACTTCACCCAAAGGTTCTTGACCCAGAGGGTGGTTGGGCACTGGAACAGGCGCCCCTGGGAAATGGTCACAGCACTAGCCTGACAGAGTGCTGTGAGGTGTTTCTGCAATGCTTTCTGGTACATGGTGTGTCTTGTGGGGATGTTCTGTGCAGGGCTGGGAGCTGGACTCAATGGTCCTTGTCGGTCTCTCCCAGTTCAGCATATTCAGTGATTTTTTTTTTTTAAGATTCTGTGATTCTGTAATCCCTTGAGACTTACTTATCAATTCAATAATCTGTATTTTAGAAGGGAACATGTGATTTTGAGAATGACATGACCCAATGTGGATAATGGTAACCCCATCATGAATACAATCATGGAGAAGCTGTGATATGATGGTAGAAAATACTGCAGGTGGCTAAAACTGCATCTAGAATGTTTTGAAATGTCTACACTTGCAGTAGGAAAGTAGAAAATAAGTTTTACTGACCTAACATTTAGATCCTTATTTTGGAACAGGTTATATGTAAGCCAGGGTTTGATCTGGATTGTGCAATAGATCTTACTATTAAAACTAGCATTTCGATCTCAGATGTCACCTAGCTGTCGGTGGAACTGAGCTCACTATTCTGGTTTGCACCAGAGGCTCAGTCTAACAGAAGTTTGAAATTGCCTGGGATTTCTGTTCCCAAAGAAGTGTGTTCACAGTGCTGATGAGACACAGTAGACTACTGTGGTTGTATTCCTGGAGAGAGGGGATGAAGTAAAAATCTTCTATTTCAGTGCACTGAATGCAGGAGTAGTAATTGAGAAATATAGCAGTACAACACTTCACCTTCTGCAGGCAACTCTAGTTCTCTAGTATCTAATGCTGATGTAACTTTAGGCATACTTAAGTCTGCCTTTTTGGCTTTTCATGCATTGGTTTTCTCTGTGGGGGGAAAAGGTGCATGTTTCTGAGTTCATTGTAACCACCAGATACTGAGAAATACCTTTTTGTTCTTCTCTTGACTTAACAGAGAAGGATTCTGCCCAAGCCAACAAGAAAAAGCCGCACAAAAAACAAGCAAAAGCGTCCGAGGAGGTTAGTAAATAATACTGATTCAGTATGACAACCTTCTTTTGTACCTGGTAGTTTAGTCAAGTAATGGTTAGTTGAGTTTTTGAAAAGTCATTCAAGGGATTGGGTGGCCTTGTCCGTTCTCCTACTGCTTGAAATACTGCTTTGTATCTGTCATTTGACTGCTAAAGTGTTCAGTAGAAAGGTCACCTTTGGGCACTGTGTTGCATTTCTTAGCACTCGACTTGTATTTCCTGCTACAGCTGTAGCAAATTTTTAGCTAGCAGTGCTGGCTTAAGGAGCCCCAACCTGCTGTCTCTGTTACCACAGTGTGCTGACAAGAGCTATTTTTTGTTTTAGTTGTAGGATCTTCCACATCACACGTTAGACTGTGTGCAGAAGTCAAAGTTGGCACACTGAAGGGGATGCAATGAGGGAGAGAGTGAGTGGCTGAGGAGGGGTGTAGGTACGAGTACTAGACCCTCTGAATACGAATTTGATAGCAATAGTATAGTAATGTGTGTTAAATGACCTCCCTGCTCTCATCTAGTCACTGGATTGCTAGACATGCAACACTGCTACATCTCTCTGGATGTCAGTGCCTCATCTGTATGTTGCTATATCTTTGTGTAAGTCTGTGTCTTTAAGGTTTGTCCTGTTTATGACTTGTGGCATGTCTTGTAGCTTCTCCCTGCCTCCCCAGTATTATACCTTTGTCATGTGTTACTGTATTTTGCAGTCTCCAGGTATGGATTTTAAAAGTACTCATCTAGCTGCACTCCTGCCTTTGAAAGGCTCTGCCTGTGTTCTTTCAAAACTAGCACTGCGCAGTGGTTAAGAGAAGTTGGCATTTGTGTCTGAGTAGCACACTGCCACTTTCTGCTTGAGGAAAGGCAGGTGTGCAGGACTGCCCCTGTCTCAGCCTGAGATGAGATCAGGCTGCTGTGTTGTAGATGTTTGTCTCCCTTAGCTGTGCCAGTGTGGGCGGTATGAAGTGCTGCTGTAGACACGGGTGTTAGTTACAGTGATACTGCCCTGAAACTGTGGGTCAAGATGCTGCAGATCAGAAGACATGCTAATTCTCTAGACTCATGTAAAATAACCTGGGCTGCCTTTTCTCACGTTGGCTCACTTCTGGACAGTTCAGGAATACACACATGTAGATTTCAAGCAGTCTTCTAAGCATGGACTCAATTGGCCAGCTAGTCCTTTTCTGTATTACATTGATCTTCTAAGCTGCTGGGTTTAGGCAGACGAAGAAACCAGTTTTTCCAAAACTGGGTCTCCCATGAAAGTACTCCATGCAGCTGAGGATATTTATACACTTAAACTTTTCCAGTCAGTGTCTCCGGCAGAGTTGCAGATGGAGCAGTTTGGTTTTAATTTAAATATTTATTAAATGTGTAGAAATAGAAGAATGTTTCAAGGCTCTTGCCACAAATTAACGGGTGCTCTAAAAGATCAGAAACCTGGCTACATTTTCTTATGCAGTCATTAAATTTCTGCACTCTGTAGAATTTAGCTTTTCTTTTTGCATGCCCTGTGATAGCGCTGTATTGTCACACTGTGGCATAAAAGAGAAGAAACACCACCAAATTTTCAGCCAAAGCATGCTATGGAAGATTTAAACCTTGTCAAACTGGAAAATTTCCAAGAGGATGTGTTTTAACGATATAAATGTGGCATTTCAGCCGTACGCTTACTGCAGTGCACGATGCTATTCTTGAGGACCTGGTCTTCCCAAGTGAAATCGTGGGCAAGAGAATCCGCGTAAAACTGGACGGCAGCAGGCTTATAAAAGTCCATCTGGATAAAGCACAACAGAACAATGTTGAACACAAGGTAAATAAAAAAACTTACTTTCTCATACAGGTGGGGGTGACGTTCTGACATCCCTAAGAAACTGCTTAGGGATACAGCAAAAGACTTGCCTTTTGGCTTGTGGAGATGCTTTGGTTTGTATTTGGAGTGGGGTGCTGAATAGAGAAAAGACAGTTTTGAACTAAAGCTCTAGTTCAACTTGCCAAAGACCCTGGATTATAAAGTAGTTATATTGGTTCCCTCATGGGACCAGACAATGTTTTATTGGGTTTTTTTTTGTATGAATAGGGGTTGGTTGGGTTGGTTTGTTTGTGTTTTTGTTGTTTTTCAAGTGAAGCATTTAGTTTTGACCTTAAACAGATGTGCTCAGTAAAGCCTACACTTCGCTTAGTTTTTTCTGTAGGGGTGAAATGGGAGTCTTGTGTTTGGGCCTGTTTAGCTCTCAGGATCTCGCGTTGAAAATCAGAGAGAGCCCAAATACTCTAGAGGAAATGTATCTTTTGTGTAAATCCTCAATTACCTTAATCTAGAAGAAAATTATTGGCCTCAGAGTGAAGATACACAGGCAAATAGTATAGTACCTTAAGTATGTTAACTAGAGTTATTTGTTTACACAGCATATATAAGCAAGATTTATTTGTCTTCACAGGTGGAAACATTTTCTGGTGTGTACAAGAAGCTCACAGGCAAAGATGTGGTGTTTGAATTTCCAGAATTCCAGCTGTAAAATGCAAAAAATGGCTGAATAAACAACTGTTCATATAACAGAGTAATTTCATTTAAATTTTGAATTCCACACAAATGGGGATTAACTGGTTCATGGGACTTCTCTGCTGTCTGGAGAGTGGCACCTGTGAATCAAAGTTTTAACTCCCCAACATTTTAATGGTAGCCCTCTTAGGTTTTTCTTGGCACTGTTGCAACACAACTGGACTAGAGTCCAGAGTCTGCAAAAAGAATTCGTACTGAAGAACCCAAGTATTCCAAATCTCAACTGGGGAAAATATGGAGAATTACTGTAGAGCAGTGGAACTCCTCTGAGGTCTGCACACAAGATATCAGTTGGAGACTTACATGTTCCTGACACTTCCTGAAGAAGTCAACTAGCAGGTGGTGTGTGACTTATGAAATGTGTAAAAATGACATCTGGATAAGGAGGTCGAATTCTTAGGAAATAGGTTGGGGGAGGTATAGTTGATTTTTGAGGTAACTTAACTTGTTCTATATGGCAACATTCCTTACCAGTTCTTACCTAAAAGCAGGCTCTAGCTTCTCACCTTTCAGATTGAAATGGGAAGGAATTTTTACTTCTAAGTGCTTGACTGTATCACTGGACAAAAACTGGGTTTTTTTATGTATTGATCTTGTTTTCAGATATAATGTGTTTTACCTTGGTTCTGTACACGCTCAGTGATATAGGGAGAGGTGGGAAAGAGCTAGATGCATCAGCATTCAAAGGCTGAGTGTCACAGAAACACTACAGTATTGACTTCAGTATCTGTATTAAAGAGCCCTTTACATGAGCTCGGGCTGATGTTGGTCATGCAAAGTTCTGAGCAAATTGTATGAATTTAGTACTTGATTGTACTAAACACAGTATTAAGAGTAAGTGTTTAACTTAGTAGAAGACAACTAATTTTTGAAGTCCGTCTGGTAAGTGGAGAGCTAAGTTGGGAACAAGTTGTGTGACAGGAACACACTAAATAACTTGCATTTTCCTACCTGAGAGCAGGTGGAGGACAAGTACCACTCAGTGAGGGCCTTTTTACCTTTACTTCCCTTTTCCAGTTACAGTAGTTTTGGTTGCTTCCCATTTGACACCTCTTTAGTTATGGAGAGCTAAAAGGTTAAAACAAGTTCTGCATTGCTTTTGCATTGAAAAAATGAAGACTTTAAAATTTATGTCATGACTTAGTAGGGCAGGATGGATAGCCCTGTGCTGTATCTGTTGGTGCTGAGAATGTGAAGAGAAGGAAAATGCGCCGTGTTGCAATTAGTAGTTAATTTCCTGTTACTTGCTGACAAGGCATGACTATTTGCACAAAAAGCAGGCTGTATCTTTGAAGAAATTTGTTTACCTTAAGGGCTTTTCCTGTCTCATTTTCAAACTTCTGTCTCTGGAGTATAACTTAATTCCTTATTTATTCCTTGACTACTTATTGTTCATCTTGAATGATTCAGCAGAAGTGAATGCATCAGCTTCCCTTAGAATTAGATGAGAGGAGTTGTCAGGTATATAAGAACCCCAAATCCTGTCTGCTTGTATGGAGAATAATTGTAAAAGATCTTACAGTAGCAGACCCATAACTTTTGAATTCAAGTTTTCATTCCAAAAATGGACATTGTTCAGATTGGAAATGCCACCTTGTCTAGTCCCCCAAAAATATAATCTTGAGTCAGACACATTACTAAGCTTTCCTCTAAAACAGTCACAGATGGCAGCCTGTGCAAGTAGACCTTGGCTGGTGTGGGCTGAAGAAGTAGCTTGGGGAGTATTTGGAGATTTACCAGATGTTAACTACCTTTAGTTAGAGGTGGGTGAGTCTGCTGGGGCTGTGTAACCTCTGCAAGGAGAGGTGATCCTCAGCAGGCTTTGCTAGACAGCATTTCCTGCTTTATAGGGAAATGTAACTCAGGTTTCATCTCTTCATAGTAATAAAAATGTCAGTTGAGTTTCTTTGGAAGTGCTGGGAGGGGGTGAGTGGGGGAGGAGAAATCCAGTAAACTGAACAGAAAGATTGCAAACGTTCCCAGGCATTGCCAGCTGGCTATAGATTTTTCTTGGCTCTTGTTGCAAGTCCTCTTGAACTGTATGATATGCAAAGGCTCACAATGGCCCCATAAGCAAATTCTTTGAGGGAAAGGATAATGCTGTCGAAGCTCAATGGCTTTTACATCAATTAAGCTACAAGGAGAGGTGAATTTTTGTAGCATAAATTACAAGGCTGTGTGTTTGCAGAAGACTTTGGTCTTAATTTACTTTTATTTACAGACTCCCTCGTGTGTTTGTGTCAGTGATACAGTCAGACAACTCCCTCTGTCCCTTGACAAGCATACTAAGTGCATGCCTGCAATCTGGAAAGTCAGTTTGATGCCATCTGGTCAAGTGCTAATGAGGCTGCTGGAATGCTGGTGTCAAATGTTACCTTAACCTAAGCAAACTCCATGTGAGATGATGCTAGACTTTTCCTATACCTTTCATATGCTGGCACAGTTGAACTCTGAACATGCGAGTGATCATGAGTTTTATCAGCTGCTCTGGGTGAAAATGTGGTGGGGCATTCTGTCACAAGGGACTGCAGCAGTAATTTGGGGGTAGTACCAATGTGCAAAGACAGCCATATACTGAACTTCTTTCCTGTAGTAGCTCCAAATGACAAGGGCTTTACGTCTGTTAAGTGCTCATGAGACTTCCACTTGATCTTAAAGCTTCAATTATTTCATATGAATCCTTTCACAATGTCTTCAAATACTTTTGCCTATGAGGAGGACTGATCCCTGGTGATTTTTCTTTGAAAAGGTGTATAGATGTGTCACAACTGTAGTAGTGTAATAGAACTTCCTTGAAGTTTTGGGTGGTAAGTGCTTGTATTAATAGGGCAACTTGATGTATGATAACCATGTCTGAGTAGCCCCTCTTGAGTGTAAGTGGGAGCAACTGGTGAGTTTCAGTGTATGATCTCATGCCAAGCAGCATTCAAAGGAAATCCTATCACTCCTGCCTTGTGGACTGAAAGAATCAATTTCCTATTCATTTGTTCTTCCTGAATTTTCAAATGGTTGGCCTGAGTTTGAGTCTCAATTACATCTGAAGGTCAGAGCAATGCTGAAAAGCTACACCTCTTTCCAGTGGGATGTACTATCTAGGCCACTGGGCGTTTATCAGAATGACAGGAAAAAGATGACTATTACAGAAAGTTATGAAGCCTCGTAAAATGAAGGCTGGTGGTGAGGCTGAGGGAATGTGAGTTTCTCTGTCTCCAGTAGGAGCTGACTGCAGCACTGATCGGTGTGAATAATTCACTGCAGTTTAACAAAGTGCCTTTGCCCTGCCCCTTACTGCCTGCCTTGAGGGTGCTAGTGTGAAAACCCTGGTGACATGAACATCTATGTACTAGTGCTCTGTTCCCTACAGAGGTACAAGTAAAGGACCTTATTTATGTATTGGCATAAAGTGGAGAAAGTTTGTTGGATTTGTTAGGTCTATGAGTTCATGTATCCCCTCTTCTTCCTTCCAGTTACTCTGTCTTGTTTTCAGGAAAATCATTGTTAAGCTTAGTGTCATGCAGTTGCTACTTGGTGTTGCTAAATGATTAATAGCTAACATTTCTAATTATTGTATATTGAGTTAACATGTGTGGCTCAGTTGTGATCTGCCCCTGGAGCAGCAAAAGTAGAATTAAATCCAAGCACTGAGAAGATTATTCCAGTTTCAGAGATGACTAACAGAAAAAGCACAACTGCTGCAGTGAATGCTGCTTATCAATTTTTATACAAAAAAAAAATTAGTTCAACATCACTAATGAAGTAGAACGCCAGGTTTTACACAGTTGCAAATAAAGTTAATACTGTATTGGTGTGGCCACACTGATCTTTCCCACTGTACATCTCATGTACTGCACAGAAGAGGTAGGAAGGAGAGCTTCAGAGGGCCGAGGTGCTGGGGCAATGCTAAGATGTTTAGATGACAAATTGATATCTTCACAGAGAGAGATCTATAAGCTGTGTTTTACCAGGACTGTCTTAACGCTTAATAAAGTTGTTTCCTATTTTCTTGGGTAAACAGATACTGTTATGTGAAGCAAAGGGGATAGGACACATCATTATGCTGCCCTGGGAGAGAGGAGGGGTTGCACTTGGCATGCTTGTATGCATGTCTGTACCATGGAGGAGTCCTATCTGCTGCGTCTCCTTGCCACTTTAGGAGTTTCTTGGGGTGCCCTGGGAGGCCTAATAAGGGCTGGTTAGTGAGGCAGCTCTTTCATTAGCTAGAACAGCATTTGTGATGGCCTGCAATAAACTAAGCTCCTGCAATTGAGTCCAGATGCTTATTTTTTAAAGAGTTTGGGTGTTGGAAATAGTCATCCTGCAGAAAAATCTGATTGGAAGATGCTGATACCATTGGATGCTATGCTAAACCAAAGGGAAAATCAGAGCCTTGTCATCTTTTCTTGTCACCTTCTCTTAAGATTTTTTAATAACCATTGTGTTTTTAAACCGGTATTGTGTTTAATCCTCTTATAGATACAAAGATAATGCCAACTGACTATGCAAAGTGTAGAAAAATTTCCTGGATGCTCCTAAAATGCATTAGCATATTTTTCCTGTTTTCTAAAAACTTTTTATTGAACTTCTGCAACCAGTTGGATTTTATCTGCATGGTTTTGGTTTGGTTTGATTCCAAGAATTCTACTTGTAGTTGTGTCAATGTGGTATTTAACCTAAATTTAAAGGGTGAAGAAAAGTTGTGTAGTGGGTCAAGCTGAAGTAGCTGGCCTAACTGGTGTCTTGCTGTGTAGAAATGTAGAATGGGTTGGGTTTCAAGGGACCTTAAGGATAATCTACTCTAGCCCTCCTTGCTGTGGGCAGGAATACCTTCCTCTAGATAAGGTTGTTTAAAGCCCCATCTAAACTGGCCTTGAGCATCTCCAGAGATGGGCATCCACAACTTTTCTGGGAAACCTGTTCCAGTTTCTCACTAGTGTCACAGTAAAGAATTCACAGTATCTGATATAAACCTGCCTCTTTGTGTTTGAAGCCTTTCTGCCTGGCCCTATTGCTACATGTCCTTGTAAAAAGTCCCTCTCCAGCTTTCTTTTAGCCCTACACCTTTTAGGTAATGGAAGGTGCTCTAAGGTCTCCTCAGGAGCTTTCTACAGGCTGAAGAAGCCTGACCCTTTCAGCCTTTGTTCATTAGAAAGGTTCTCCAGCCCAGTTCTGATCATGTTCATTAGCGCTCCTCTGGACTTATTCCAACTGGTCCACATTTTTATGTTGGGGGTCCCGGGGCTGGATGCAGCACAGCAGGTAGGCTCTCATCAGAGAGGAGTAGAGAGACAGAATCAACCTGCTGTCAGTGTTTCTTTTGATGCAGGCCAGGATGTGGTTGGATTTCTGGGCTGCAAGGGCACATGGCTGGCTCGTTTTGAGCCTCTCATCAGCCCACAAGTTCTTCTCAGGGCTGTTCTTGATCCATTCTCTGCCCAGTCTCTGTTTATTCTTGGGATTGCCTGCCCCAGCCCAGGTGCACTTGGTGTTGTTGAACTTCATGAGGTTTGCTCAGACCCATCTCTTGAGACTGTCAAAAGAGTCTCCCATTTCCTTGCAGAGAGGACTCACATTTTCCTTAGTTTTCATTTTATCACCAATGTACCTAAAGAAACTTTTCTTGTTGCCTTTGATATCCCTGGCCAGATTTAAGTCTCTCATGTTAGCTTTCCTAACATGATCCCTTGCTCAGACAATCTCTATCCCTCCCAGGCTACACGTTCTTGCTTGCACCCTCTTCAGGCTTCTCTGTGCTTCAATTTGTCCGGGAGCTCTTTGTTCCTCTGTACTGGTACACTGTGGCCTCTGGAGGCTGTCCCTCTCTATCCAGCAAGGGTTGCTGAAAGACTTGGGAATCAGCTCTTGAAGTGCTACAGTGTCCCAGACAGGCATGTTAACATAATAAAGAACTTAATGACCAGAGGCTGTGGTGACCTGGTGATGACCTAAGCTGCTCCCACATGGTCCATGCATCAGTACCCCAGTTTGCACATAGTAGTAGCCTGATTTAGATGATGCACCAATATGGCTATACTGTTTCCAATTGGTTTTTGGGGTGGGAAAAGGTTACTTACGCCCTTCTGTATGGGGACTATGCCTTTCTCTCTCATGTGAAAGAAAACCATGTGCTTGTTTATTCTCCCTTTTCTAGAGAAGGCACTTTCACTGCATGTATAGTGTTTGCCCTTTCCTTTTGAACTCTGGTCATTTATGTTTGTTCTCTTTTCTGCTTCCCCAGTGTTGAGTCCTACCTTTTCTACCAACTTTCCCTGAATGGGTCTATTTCTATATTGAATTCTGTTTCTGTCCTCAAAGTTATTTTCCTGTGTTTACAGGGAGAATAGATATGTATGTAAATGGAGTTGTCTTCGCCTTGGTAATATGATCTTCAAAGGCTTGGACTACAGTCACTTTGCTACATTCTTTACATAAAATGTTTGTCTTGGCAAGTTTCTGCCAACAAAGTGCTGTGAGGGCCCAGTCCTAATTGCCTTCTGCTCCCACTGAACTGATGGGGCCTGTATGCATTAAAAATAGACTTTACAATTAAAGTTGCATGGTCCTTAGACAGTTACGTTAATGTTCTACCATTTTGTTCATTTTCTACCTTTCTTTACGGAGGTAATCTACTGAGGAAGAGATCATTAGCTCTTAACTTTTCATGACCATTTGGTGTGTGTTAAATACAGGAGTCCATAGCAGCTGAGGCGGATAACCAGGTTCCAGTCCAACATGGAAACCTGTATGTAGGTAGTCCACAGGGAGTCCTGAGTTTGAGGCATCACTGCCTCTTTTTGTACCTGTTTTTTTCTTTGCCATTAAAGCTGGTCAGTGTGTGCTGTGGACTAACAAAACAGGGGCTGTCATGGGCAAGAAGGCTGCACAGGCTTAGGGAGAGGTTTGCTGGGAGAGAGGATATGTAATGTCAAGAGCAAAGCAGGAAGAGAGTACATGAGTACTGTGCCATCAGCTTGTACTGCAAGCCCCACCACAACACGAAATTCTCAATGGAGTGGACCTACACTTCAAAAGAGATTGGAAAAGTGATAAAGAAGTGAGCACATGGATGGTTCTATTGCAGCTTTCTCTAGCCCCTCAGTCTAAAACCTTTTCTGTGTTCTGATACTTTCCTGATCTTGGGACTGGAAAATGGAAAGGAATGTCCTGCTACTGCCCTTAGCTCCTGTCCTGGTTTTCAAATAAGAGGGCACATACTGGGGGTTACCCAGCCTCCCAGCCCACTGGGTGCTTGCTTAGAGCATGACCCCTCAAACATTACCTGGAAGAACGGGGAGGAGGGAACAGTGGCACGAGATGGATGGTGACAGATGATTCACACAATTTTCACACAAGTCTTACAAATGCAGCAGCTTTTCATCAAAGGATATTAATTGATATAGTCACAAGTGGTACTCTCTATTTGCCCTGGAAATTGAGAGTGAAGCCATTTATATCTGTTGAAGTATAAACTGCTGTAACTGAGGGGGGTGTTCTCAAAATCCCACTTCCCAGAATCAGCTGGCCCCAGTTTTTTGCTGCTTGAATGTATATGGAGTCTTGTGGTTTATCCAGGCCTCAAACTAGTCTAGCTGTTTAAGGTAAAAACCAGAGTTGTACAACTATGTAAAAGCTATAGTGAAATAGAGCTAAATTTGTATCAAAAGATGTTTTAAAAAACCCCCAAAAAATCATGAAGATGCCTGCCATGTGGATAATTTAGCATTTACATTGTTTGTGGGTGTTCAGACATGGCTCTGAAACAGTTGCCTGTTTTACTCAAGAATGCAAGGGGAGTGTGTTAATTATCCACACAAGATGGTCACATTCAGTGTTGTGTTTCATGTGTTTTCATATCTGCTGAAACAAAGCAAGAGAAGTGTTGTGCTGGGGCAATGTGCATGCATGGCTTAGAGCTGAATAGATGTAAATGGTTAAAAAGGGGTTCTCTGCTAGAGAGGAGGAGGGGAAAGTAAGTGTGCATTCCCAAAAAAGTACATTCCCAAAATAAAAAGCTTACATCATGGACCTCTTCAGTTTTCCCACACTTCTTCCCTAATTATTGTCCTGCAGGACAGCTGATCTATTTCAAACAGGAAGCTGTTTACAGATAACACTTGCAACTGTTTTGTCTGATTTGTTGAACTGTCAAAAAGAAAAAGACAACCTCTTTTCAAATTAAAAACTGTCAGACTTCTGTAAACAGCAGCAATGAGGTTCATCTGTGCAGTGTCCCTGCAGGCACAGAGCATTGTGCAGTTCCCATTCTCTCTGCAGCCATAAGGTAAGAGACTTTTACGCTTTCACTCCATAAAAATATGTAGAAGAAAAAGTCTGGATATTTGTTAGGGAGCTGCTTTGCATATGGCAAAATATGATTGACAGTCCCACAAATAGAAGGGGAAGGTACAGGAAAAAAGAACTCGCTTGAGTCTATTGGGTAACATTGGACCTTTCTATTGAGAAGCACCCATGTGGGTTAGATCACTGAATGCCAGTTTAGCTTAGGCGGATTGTATTTAAAATGTACAAATGCTATTGGAAGACCTCGCTTTCCTTTTAGCAGGAAAGGAAAAACCGTACATGAATTTTAACTTTTCCTACAATTGAAAATTATTTTACTTTATTCTTGAGTTGTAATTCCTAGTAACAGACACAGGCAGTTGGCTGTTTTCCACTTTGAAAAGTGATCTTTTAATACACTGCAAAGCAGAGAATGAAGACTGGCATTGCAGAAGTGAAGGTCCAGTAAGGGCTGGAATTACATCGCTGTGTAATTAAGAGCAGTCTTGTGAAAACCAAATTGTGTAGGGAGTGGTACCATGCAGAAATGCTTAGTGAGATATAAGGGTGTATAATGATACAAAATCTTGGTCCAAGTGAGCAGGAATGAGTGAGAGGAAGTCATACTTTAGTGAGCAGCAGGGCACATGCCTGCTTTTCAGTCATGAGCTATGAAAACTAGGATTCATAATGGACTTGAAAGTTTCCATTCTGACCTCTGTGCATACATACATGTAAATTTTGGAGGGGGGTTGTTTTCTAGCAAAATCAAATCACTGTGGAGAATACCTAACTTTACTTGTCATACAGTGAAATGGAGCAGCTAGATAGGAAATACTCTGACTTTCTGTATTGGTGTAAAACCAAATTGAAATATTTTTTAAATGTTGCAAATATAAAAACTGCTGCCCAATGTTTTCTTCTCTGTAGCTGAGATTTTTGTATTTCATACCTATGTGATTGTTTACCTGGTCATGAATATTTAAGGTATTATAGTAATCAGAAAATATAAAAAAACCCCACTGACTTAAAGGTGACACAATGATACTATCCCTAAAATTTTAGTATGTTACTGATGCAGCATAAATAAGGTGTGCCAGTGTTGTAGATAAGAAATAAGACTTCCAAGTTAAGTATTCCTTTTAAAAATGTTTGGACTGTCTTTCATAAAATTCTTAGATGTATCTGTTAAAATGAAATTTTTGTTTTAGTTAATACATGAAAGATAATGTGTAAGTTAAATTCATAGCCAAAATAAGACATGGCATAGTCCTACAGTCAACAGAGAATTGATCTGTGGAAGCAGCAGAAATCTGTGCAATTTCTAATTGTATGCTATATTCAAGGCTATTCTTTTCTGATTATTTTGAGTGATTTTGCACTGTTTCTAAAGCTCTTTTTAGTCATCTCTAGGGCTGTCCAAAAATTCTTGAACCAGAATCCTTTTGAAGTAGGAAGACTTTTGGCAGAGTAGCTTTTTAAAGAAAAGTGTCAGTTTTCTGGGATAGTTCAGTTCTTTTGTCAAATTATTTTGGCTGAAAACCAGGAGAGTTTAGCCAAAAATATTCTCATGGCGTCTCTTGGGAAGTGTAGTTTGTGCTTTGCACTGCATTTCACTACTGGCTGAACTTCGCAGCTGAACCACACTTCCTGTAAAGCTGTGTGGTCAGGGTCTTGCTATTTTAATTTCTCTTGATGAAAAGAGTGATAGGATGTATTTTGGAAAAGTTAGTCTTGTGAAAGAGGCACAGACTGGGCTCATAAGGCATCAGCTGGTTGATAAGTAGTTGGCAGCTTCTTAAAATTTGAGTGTTTCCTTCTGGTTTGCACGAGCCACAGGCCATCCTGGTTTTCAGCCATGAGAGTAGGACCCTTCTAGAGAGTGTCAGCAGAAGGTTTAAAGCCTTTTGTTGGTTTTGGCCATGCAAACACCTGTACAAGGGACAGAATATTTAATAACAGTTCTAAGGCTTTGTTAATACTTCTGCCAACTTTTGTGCTGAAAGTGTTCCATTTTATATATTTGGAACTGAAAAATGCAATGGAGTATGACTGGATGTTAAGATTTTTTAAGAACTCTTAAGTCAATAGGAAAACAACCTACTAGAAGCCCAATGCTTTAAAAAGAGTTGGTTTTGAAAATACAGCAAGGTGTCATCTCATCCATCTAAGTGGCTCTTCATAAAAATGTAGTCCTGGGTAATTTGCCTATAGTTGTAGAAGATACTTGTAGTCAAGAAAAGAACAGAAGTTGGTCTGCTTGAGTGCTTCATCAGTGCACCAATCTCTTAATTTTTCCATAGAATCCAAGGATCCTTATCTTCTGGGACTATTTGGATGCTGCCCCCTCAAAACTTTATCAGAAGATTGGTTAGGAGGTCCATAGGGTGTCCTGGAGGCCAGGACAGAGCACTATGACAAATGGTGGGGATTTATAGGGTTTACATTAGTTTTCTTCTGCACTGAATCATAGAATGGTTTGGGTTGGAAGGGACTTCTGAAGATTTAGTCCAACAGCACGTGAATGAAACAGACATGAATAAATAGTTTCACAGTGCTGCAAGCTGGATACCAGACTCCAAAGCAAGAAATGGCTATGCTTATGTGCAGTATGGAGTGAGTGGAGGAGAACTAAGGGCTGAAGAAAGTGACTCGCCACAGTCAGACAAGTGTGTGATGGCCACAACAGCCATCCAAAAATTGCTTCTGAGAGGTGTTCCATAATTCTCTATTCTGGATGTGGAAGTGGATCAATTCACCATCTTTAGTTCCAAATGCTGCAGGAACTAGAGTTCTGGAAGGTGGAAGCTTACCTTGAATTTGTGTGCTGGGTTGTTCTTCAAGCATGGAGATTTTGAAAAATGGCTCTGAGAAAACTGTTTTCTACAGATCTCTTCGAGGACTGCTACCCAGCTGTCACATAATCTGCTGTCTGGGGCCACTTACCTGGGAAGTAGGAGGTCTAAATGCAGCTCACTGCACTGCTCCAAACCTCCACCTCCCATCTGCTGCAAAGGTGCCCTTGTAACTAACCAACATAGTAATTTGGTGTGCTTGGAGGAGACTGAATGATTTTGGATGCATTTCCTTGATGGAAATGTGCCAGGTGGGAGAAGAGTGTCTTGTTATTCTCCTCAGGCAAGAGGTTGACCATCTCTGGTCTGTGCAGTAAGAAAAGCTTAGACACCCAAGTTTTTTCAACAAAACCACAGGAACCTCCTACCTCTTAAGGTGGCTGGATTGTTAGGAGATGGTTTTGGATACTTTGTTTAAATCTGGGATGAGGCCACAGAGAGAGATTCAGAGGTAGTGCTGCCAGTGTTGAACTTAAGCAGGGTGAAAAATGGGAGAAAAAGATGGAGAGTGGAAAGAGAAAGTGCTTCAGCTTTGGCTGTTTTTTGAATAGGGGCTTTGAAGAATGAAGCTGCATCCATAGATGTGCTTAAGTTCCTGGTGCCTGTCTTTGGTCTTAGGTATGGCTCTCTCTGTGATTATTTTCTTTTTGTCCTGTTTGCTAGTTGTAGAATAAGCATAAATAATAATAACAACCTTCAGATAGCACTCTAAGATTTTCTGTTTAATTTGAGTGATTTTCAGGCTTAGTTATGGACCACTCCAAAATATCCTGTGATGGTGCTGATGATTTTAGCAAATACTGAAACTTGCTGACAGTAGGTATGCATTTATTCATCTTTAATGGACTCTTTAGAAATGGTCTATGGGCCTCCAAGAGACCATGGATGAGATGTTGAATGCCATGCTCTTTGGAAGGACAAAATTATAAAAGTGATTGTATAATTTTAATTTTACTTATTTATAGGACTTTTTATAGTCATTAGAGAAAGTTTTTTAAGAGATCTAATTTTTGGGAATTAAAACAAAGAGCTTTAAAAATTTTGAGAGGAAAGAACCAGCACTGTTAGATGGCACAGTAATAATAGCCAATGAAGTAAAAACATCAGACAAGAATCTAATTAAGGCCTAGCACAGGAAACAGGGAAAAAAAAGCCTTATTAAATAGGAAAAGAAAAATGTGTAGCAATGGGCTTTGTCAGAATGGTGTTAATAAGAAAACAGGTCTCTGATGGCTCACTGGAGTGGAGTTATGTTCAAGAAATGTTAAGGAGACAGATACTGAGAACATGTGGAAGTGCAAGAGAAGGACTGATGGTGCATGCTGAGGAGATTCCAGAGTGCTGGATCTGTCAGCAGCACCTACAGATGCACTTGCAGTGTTTCTCTCTAGCTGTGCAATGACCTTGCACTTTAAAGCTAATGTAGAGATGAAATGAGATGATGTAGTGATAGCCATACTATGAGCTGCAGCTGAAAAAAAGCTCTTTATCGGAGGTTATCTTCCTTTGCTCTTTAGCATCTTCATGAGTTGGATTTGTTCAGCCAGAAGAGATTTTGGGGTGACCTAATTGCAGCCTTCCTGTACCTGAAGGGAACTTACAGGAAAGATGGAAAGGGACTTTTTACAAAGGCCTGTTGTGACAGGACAGGGGGACAGGGCTTCAAACTTAAATTAGACAGTAGAAAAAGATTCTTTACTGTGAGGCTGTGGAACTGGCTGCCCAGAGAAGTTGTGGATACCCCATCCCTGGAAGTGTTCAAGGCCAGGTTGGAGCTCTGAGCAACCTGGTCTAGTGGAGGGTCCCTGCCCATGGCAAAGAGGTTCGAACCAGATGATCTTTAAGCTCCCTTCCAACCCAGGCCATGATGTGATATATAATATATATGATATGTCAGAATTGCCTTTTATGTAATTGTGTAGTGTCAAAAACTCTCTATTGTCGTTCTCTACTTTTATGACTGTTGTACAAAACCTACAGGGGGGCTAGGTGGGCAACTGGCCTCCAGCCATGGTCAACCCACCAGGTCTGACAGACTCCCTAGCAACTCCATATTTAAACATGCATTTGCCTAGTTATGCTTAATGTACAAGTGATTGCATTCACACTGTTCCTTGATTTTAGGGAAGATTACATTAAACATTGC